CGGAAAAAAACAAAAAACAAAAAAAAAAAAAAAAAAATCCAGTGTAAGTGAAATGATGAAAAATACCTAAGATCCAAGGCAATGGATAAAGGCCCTACACAAGCAACAAAAGCTGAAGAGTACCTAAGAGGGCCATTTGAGTCAACAACAAGACCATGTGGGCAGAAGAAGAGACCTCAGGAAGAAGCCATTGAAGTGCAGATCAGGCACCAGAAGTGAAAGGAAGAGGAAGGTTCTTTTTAGAATGAAAAAGAAAAAAGAGAGTCAGAATTAGTTTGGTGAAAAGAAGATGCTAAATGTACCCAGGTTTTAATTTTCTGTAGATCTTTTCATGAATTGTGAATCGCTCTGTTTAAATTTAGTAACTATGGATTCTTTACTGATCACTGTCATTTTGATAAAGGTAGAGTTTTAGGGAAAAGCTATGGTAACCACCTGGAGAAAGGGATCCACTCTACCTCTTCAGACCTGTTCTGCAAGTGAAACTTCCTGAATTGCTCTGTGTGGGGCTGGGGAATATTACCATCCTCTAACGAGCTATTATTTCTATCTAAAATCTACCAAGAGAGGGTAAACATCACAATGGACTGGGTTGAACGTGGTCGGAAGGTTTTGCTAAGATCAACTAAATGAAGAAGAAAGTTTGCAAGGGCTTTGTTAACAAGAAATACTGTGGAACTTGGAATGGAGAGAGGAATCCACATTTTTTCCCCCATTTTGCAAATGAAGAAATACTGAGACTCAAATCTTACATGGTTCCATTGGAGTTCAAATACTTGGTGTTAAAAAGACTTAAGAGTTTTTTTTTTTTTTTCTTCTTCCTGAAGACACAAAAGGAAAATAGAGAAAAGACTGGAAATCTGCATAGCCAAGAACTGAAAAGTTCCTGTTAGTTTTTATTTTCTTTAATGATTTGTTCACTCATATCACATTTAAGACATAGTGTTCCAAATATTTATTTTGGTAAGTCATCAATATCTAAGTTTCAAGCAATGGAAAATGGATTCTAATGAATTTTATGTCATACTATGCCCATAATGTGTGGGTGTAACTGGCAGGCTACGCTCCCACCACTGCGGGTAAGTCCATGAGAAAGAAGGATGCTTGTGAGGACACATTTCATGACTGCAGACTTAAGAGGAAGAAAAGCAAAGAATACCTGAGATTCTGATCATTACCAAAAGGAAAAGTCACTAACGTAAAATATTCGCAGTGCCTATTATGTGCAAGGAACGACAAAGTTGTGCAGAACATTGTTTCTAACCCCAAAAATGTTATCATCTTCTGGAGAGCNCCTTCCCAAAGAAACGTGAGCCCCACCTCTCAGTGTGAATCGTGATCTCTACCCAAGCCCCTGCACACACCTCCCGAATTCCCCTTCCAAGCCTCTGCACTTCCTATTCCCCTCCCAGAGAGGTCTTCCCTTTCTGTCTAAATATTACCATCTCTTAGCTTCTCCAAGACCCAATTCAAAACTACTCACAGAAACTTTAGTCAAATTAATCCCTCCCAACTTCTGTTTGCTTGTCACTCCCCTATTCTGGAACCCCTTTAGCATTATTGATTCATACATGCAGTTCTATTTTGCATGTATTCATATGTCACATTGACACTCCTCAAATCATGTCATTTGTATACATCATCTGCTCAATTAGATTGCAGGAACANCCCCCGATGAGAGCCTCAGGGTGCGGGTGACCAATCTAATCGACAGCATAACCTTCTCCGTATACCAGTACACCACCCGCGGGCTCTTCGAGTGTGACAAGCTGACCTACCTTGCCCAGCTTACCTTTCAGGTAAAAGTGGATGGAAGTTTCCAGAAAATAGGTCATTTTTAGTGTCCAACCAGCAGCTGTCAAGAGACTTACCTCTTTTAACATCACTTCCCACAGTATTTCCAGACTTTTCACTCCAGGTAGAGGCATTAGAGAAGGTCCAACACCGTACATGCGTGTTACACTTCTACTCTTGTCTCACTTCTGGCAGACATGCTCAATCAATCACTGCACTTCTTGCTGATCTGGGTGATCTAAGATCCTCCTTGACATAGCCCTCTAGCAGCCAGTGCCAATCAATCAAAACTGGCACTGAAGATGAAATTAGATGACCATACCAATAACTAGATGCTTTCTGAGATGCTGTACGAACTTAGGTGGAGTATCAGTCATTATTTGTCTACCATTAGATTGCAAGTTTACTGACCCAGACTTCCCCTGGTATAAGAAATCACAGAGGTATTTCTATAGGTGTAACCCCCTTGGCCTTAGAAAGTTTTCAACAACTCTTGTTCTCAAGGGCTTGGGGACCTCAGGGACTTCCAATGTGGCTGCATCTTTAAGAAGAAACTGTTGTCTTCAGTTATTCTCAATATCAAAAAACGATGAAAATGTACTTTCTTGCACTTATCCCTCTAATCATTTAGAATTGAGATTTTTTTTTTATTTCAATGTATACATTGGAAGCACAGACTAGTCTATCTCAAAGGCCTCTTCCAAGTCGAAAAGTAAGAGAATCTGTCATCACATGTGTGCTGAGTATGTCAGTGTCCCTTATCCCTCTTACCCTCTGTATTCCCCACTCCAGCCCAAATGACAGCTTGTCCTTCCCAAAGAAACGTGAGCCCCACCTCTCAGTGTGAATCGTGATCTCTACCCAAGCCCC